TCGGTTTCGCGAAAGGGTTTGCAGCACCTAGCACCATTTTAATCATCCGCGGTAGAAACGAACACGTACACAAGTTTCAACTGTAATTACAATAGTGACAAACAGACTACCACCCTTTGTAAAGCTGAATACATCTACGAACCAATGATAGAAACGTATGGTGACTTGGAACGCTTGGAAATATTTCCAATAATTAATTCCATTGGCAAATAATGAGTCCTCAATGTCTACCTAATATAAAAAATTTGAATTCTATATCAAATTATTTTTGGATACCTTGGTGTTTATAAATATTGTTAGTGGCATGGTATTATTTCTTTCCAAGCATGATGCAAGCACAAAATCATTTATAAATAATAAAAAAAATAAACAAATAGATAAACCTAATTCTACTTGAATAATACGAATTTTGAAAATCGATTTTTTAATCGGTTTTTATTCAACATTATTGATTTAATTTCACTCGAAAGAATCTATATAGAAATTCTGTAACAGAAAATCATAGATTCTTACTAGCAACGACACATTCCAGTTAACGAATACGCTTAATCGTAAAATTCCAACTCCTCAGCAAAAACCGTTATCACACGGTATACAACCTAATCATAAATTTCTCCGGGGCGCAACTCCGTGTAATCACGCGAATCGTTTCCAGAATCGATTAAACTTTTACCCAACACGAGCCATTTCCTCCCACGACTCGCTGCACTCACGGGCAAGAAAGAACTAGGAATACTAATCTGATTTCCATCCGCGAATTCGACTACGGTCAGGCGATATCGTGCCTTGTATTCGACATCAGCGTTCTGTTCCACTGATAGTCGAACCATCGTTCACCGATGTAACGTTCCGGAAACCATGCTCCTCCCGATTGGCGTTAGGTTCTTCTTCCCACCCCCGCAAAGTGAGATTGGGATTGATAAAAAAGGAAAGTACGTATCGTTCTAGGTACTCCAGAGCTAATATCAACAAAACTTTTATCTACATAAATGTATCTGCATTAGTTTAGAAAATTTTGAGGGGGCTGGTGGTGAAATAAAGAACACTCATGAGCTACCCTCAATTATAATGTTTATTAGAGGTTAATCATATAAGTATAATTATGAAATCTCATTTATACTATTGTTCACTGCCAGACAAAAACAGTATAATATTCTGCAAGACTAAAATTTTGGTTTCAGATCATTGTAAACTAGATAACCTAAAATTTGCTTCAATGCTTATTTTTGGAACCTTGCTAAAATTCACAAATTCTATCCAAAATTATTTCCCGCGATATCTCAACTTGAGAATGAATTTTTTTAATTCCATAAATTCTGTCACATGTACAGGGTGTTCGGCCACCCCCGGGAAAAATTTTAATGGGTGATTCTAGAGCCCAAAATAAGACGAAAATCAAGAATATCAATTTCTTGATTGAAAAGCTTCGTTGAAAAGTTATTAAATAAATGAATTAAAAAATTTCAAATCATTCTGAAAAAACTATTTCTGGTTGCAGGGGACAATTATACTCATTTTTGGTGAATAGACACATCCTCAAAATCCTGCGCACTTTCGAGGACAAAATTCGAGTAGGTGCTGAAATTTTTTCTGCGAAATTAAAAAATTTCAAATCGTTCTAAAAAAATTATTTTCCGTTGTGATGATCAATTACAATCATTTTTTGTGAATATGCATACCCCTAAAATCCTACGCACATACGAGAAAAAAAATTCTTTACCGAAACTATATTGTGTGGCCAGAAATGTTTAACTGAAATTTCATGCGCATATATAAAAAATCATAATTCCTGAACGGATTGGAGGATTTTAATGTTTCAAAATGCAAATGACGTGTATTTCGGTGAAGAATATTTAGAAATTCTAACAATGTTGGACATGTTATAAATCGTAGAACATAACCTTTCTCAACCGATTTTTGCGGATAGACTTTACATGATTAAGTTGGCGTGGGACGGAAGAAAGCTTGTTTTCTTTGCGTATCCACACATAAAATAACTGTATTATTTCATCGATAAGAGATTTCGTAATAAAGGCCTCCGATTTCATCGTGTTGTAAATGACTTTCGTCTCACTTTGCACCACGGATGATGCTGGGCGTCTTGCATACACGCCAATTTCAATCCTAGGAATCGCGACGCTACGAGGGCGACGAACTCCATGAAAGTTTTACGCATATTTCTGACGGCATATGCCCGATAAAAATGCCGTTCCTCCCGTGTTTCCTGGAAGCAAAGATTTCTACCCTTCCTGCTCTTAACCCTTTCGTGCTACGGGATGTGCTCTTTCATCCGATCCTCACGTACCGAAGGGATCCTTGTGGAGTTTCAACCGTGCGATAAGAGTACTCGTAAAATTTCCTTTTTTCCTTCCCCCGACGACTGGAAAACGAGATGGAAACAGGGACGCGGTACTGGCTCAGTACAAATCAAAGAAGCGTTTTTGGGACGGTTCGAAAAAAAATTACAATCTAACCAGTCGGTTGGCCGACAGCGAACCGCGCGAAATATCAGCTAGCCGTGAATCATAATTACAAGGTCGAAATTGCACGGCTGCGGCCACTAGCTTCGGTAACGAGGTTGCAGACTGGAATTTCGTCCATGGCGAGGGATCGCGAACCGACTGGAAATTTATGGCGTGATTTATCGGCGCTCCACTTCCGTGATTATCGTTTCGAGCAAATTTCGAGGGGGTTAATTCCGAATCTAAGGAATGCATGCTCACGGGGAGACGAGAAATAAGGAAGTACACGATGTATGAGTTCGCTGACGTCATAGAATTTGGCGATTTCTCACTACACCTACCGCGACCGGTCAAATGACCATTTTTTTAAATCTCGTTTAGAATTTCTAACGCACAATATTATTTTAGCGCCATTTAACTTCACAACTTTTTTTATAGCATATACAATGAATTTTACAATATTCACTTCTATTCTTATTGTTTGTTTTCTGAGAAAAATATGTAATCTGTTTTGCCTACCACGACCGGTCATCTGACCGGTTGCATGATTTATATTTCTTTGTAAAAAATTGGACAAAATTTGGTACCAAATTCTAATTAGTTTCTGATGTAAATAGGAAATATTAGGTCGAGGAAGAAGAAATTCATTATTATTTACTTAGATAGCTGCGGTGATATATTGTGGTCGTTGGAAAAGTGACATTCCGTGCTAAAAACAATTCTTTTACAGTTTTTTGGTCGATCGATTCAGTTGTAAGTTTATAGTGTGTAGAAGATGGAAGTTAGCAAAGAGAAAATTCGGTATATTTTACAATTTTGCTTTAACGAAGGCGAAAATGCAAGCCAGGCGGCTGAAATTGCGAATGGTGTTTATGGTCCCGATAATGTCATAGCCAATGTCTAAAGATCTACTACAAAACAGTTTTAAACCATTTGCGTAAAGCTGCATTCAAAAACAAGCTCGATGTGTCACACGAATTGTTCGATCGAATTTCCATCTGCAAAGTCAAATGGAACGAAATTGAATGGCAACAAATTATAAAATAAAACGATACATATTTGACCCAAGTCGTACAATCCGAACCATGTTAAATAAAGTCTTGAAATAAACGTAAAAATAATGGATTTCTTTTTCTTCAACCTAATATATGTATAGCAAAGACGAAAGAAGAAAATATACAGTTTCCACTGTCTTAGAACAGTTTAACAACGCGTATTAAAAATAGTTAAACTTTGGATGCGTGCAGTTCCAAAACTACTAGTGTTTTTTGCATAACTGAGCCACCATTGGTAGCGACAAAGCTTCCCCTTTGAAATGGTTTTTGATTTTTGTCGATCAGACTTTCCGTTTTCGAGATATCGTAATTTATGTAAAAAGTAATTTTTAAAATTCCGCTCGCCGCCTTAGAAAAGGCTATTAACGGGCATTAAAAATGCTGAAAGTTTAGACGCGTGCAGTTCCGAAACTATTAATGTTTTATTAATTATTGAGGCATTGGTAGAAACGGCAAAGCCTCCTCTTTAAAATGGTTTTTGTTTTTTGTCGAACCTCTTTGTCGCACGTGAGTCGCGACCGAATGACCTAGTTCTGGCGTAGTATTTCCAAGAATTTACTACGTACTGTTTACTATTGTCACGCGCGCGAGTTCATTGATCTCAATGAAACGTAAACAAACGCTTCGGACCCTTATATCTCCGGAACTAGCCACTGCATCGACTTGAAACTAAAATCGCTATATCTCCAGAACTAATAAAGCTATCGACTTGTTCGAAAGCTCGTTTTAAAGGGCATTTCATCCGCTATCCAATGACTATACCAACTACTATTATTTATGCTATCTTCCATGTTTATTTTGTTATTTACTTTGACACTATGCACCCATAGAAGTTTCAGCAATTCCTATCCTATGACCATATCAACTATTATTATTTATGTTGTCTTTTATGTTTATTTTAGCATTTACTTTGACTCTACATACCCAAAGAAGTTTCAGCGATTCCTATTGATAATACGGCTGGTGTGCAATACAACTGGATTATAAATTATTTATTTAATTGAAAATGAATTTAAATTTAACTACAGTGTGTTTGCGTAATTACTAGCCAGCACTTTCTTTTAAATAGTTGTTTTCTCTGGAACTAACTACGGTATCGACTTGGAACAAATTTCGTTTTCAAGGGCGTTTCATTTTTTAACATAAAAGAGAAAGATATCATTCTCTTTCTCTTGAAAGAAAGAAAAAGAAAGACTAGTCATTTGACCGGTCATAGTAGAAATGAGTATATATAAAATGCCGATAGGTTTAGTGTTAAATTTAAGTATGTCCTGTACATTCTATGCTATCAAGTAATTTGGAGGGTCTTAAACCCTTGTACTATTAATATTTGAAGGAAATAAACAACGCGTCCTAAACTCTCCGACAATAACAGTGTTTGGAAGTCCAAACAAAGACTTTCTATTTATCTTATCGATAAATAAACGTTGGAGACAGTATCTTTGCAGAGTCAATGATAGGGTATATCCATTTTGCGTTGCAGACGGCGGGAGTGCCACGAGCATGGGCGACTCACGGCGGAGAGGACGTGCCTGTATTCGCCATAGGTCCGCTGGCGAATGTCTTGTTCTCCGGTAGCATCGACCAGAGCTATATACCACACGCCATCTCGTACGCCTCCTGCTTGGGTCACCACGCGAGCCGCTGCTCCCGAGATTCCACGTCCAGCAACGACACAATGAGCGTCCCGATAAGCTGTCCCTCTGCGGAGCCAAACAGCGCCGCGATATCCAGCGACGTGATGAATGACCAGGCCAGAAATCCACCCACGAAATCCGGCGCGTCTCTCGAAGCGACCGGCTGTCGCGCGCTGACTAGTGTCCTGCTGCCCCTTATCCTCGCCATCCTGCCGTGCCCGTTCGAGGGAAGGAGTTAATGCCCGTTCGGGTCTCTTCCGGTGAATAGTTCCCTGGAACGTTCGACGTACGCCCCCCGAAGAAGCTCCCTGATAATCTTCTCTGACGGGACAACAGGTGATCCTGATGCTCGCGCCACGCAACGGAGATTTTTGGGCCTGAGGAGCCCCAATTCGAGTTGCAAGCTGCGGATTCGGTGCGCAAACTTTCACGTCATCCGTGATCTGACGATCTCGGTGGGGTCAAATAGAGACTGACTGTTAATACCCTAGAGACCTAACGTAAGTGGGAAGTGGGATCCAAAAAGGCTGTTGGGGTTTAAGACTATACTTAGCCACGATACGGGTAGAAATAATTTATCAACGATTCGAAACTTCTGACCTTGACGAAGAGGAACGCCTAATTCTAGCAGACTTCCGGACTATCCAGGGTATCGTTTAGCGCGACTGACGCCCGCCAGGGTTCCACTGTCTCCCATAAGAAGTTAATCCCCAACTGCTGCTTCTTTCAGGGAAGTAGCAACCGTCGATCAGCGTTCAGAGGCCAGCGGATGATCTCGAAGAGGCTGGAAATCACGAATACATTCTGAGGTGCTCAAGACAATTGCATGTTTCGCTGACTCGCTGGCTATTTGTCAACGAGGCGTCTAAGTAGGATTAATGGCAATTCTTGTCTAATTTTACAAAGAATTTAGAACTGCATGGTAAGAGGACTCGTGGCAGTCGGGGAGGAGACAATTTGCGACGATAATGACTATCCCTCGGTGAACTTTGGCGACTTCCAAAGCTCTGCAAGGATCTAAATGAGGTTTACAAGTGGTTCGCGACGAGAATACTTCATGGCCGAGCCCTTAGCAAAGTTTCGATGAACTTGGCGGTTCAATTAAAGGGGCGTTGAGCGAAACAGATATTTGGCGACGTCGAAACAAAGTGTCGCGGGACTTTCTCATTGCACTCGATGTCCGTGGAACTGGAAAATCCCAGTGGAAGTAATCTCGTTCTCGAGTGGTATCGTTCTTTTCTTCGGTTTCGAAAATGTTATTTAAATCGTGTATTGACACGTTAGTAGCTGGCGTAAGTTTAAGTCTGTAGCTGGTTGCAACTGACGTAACTTTACGTCATTTTATATTTGTAGAAACATGATTTTATTATCCGTTATGATTGCAACAATAAATTGATTTCTAGTCAAAATGACCGTATCAACGAAGCTTACTTTGGAACACCTTCATTTTTTAGGCTCAATAATTATGAGTCCTTTGAGATTCATATTGTCATAGGTCATATTTACACTCCTATGTTCTTTATAATCAATATTTGAATTCAAAGTTAATAATTATTTTCAGAACAGAAACAAATTTGAACAGTTCGATATTAATTTATTTTGTTGAATATAGTGAAATTTGTTTACTGTATTGGAGATGATGAATTTTAGAGGATGTATAAATGGCAGAGATGAATTTGCAATTATAATTTTGTCACAGATGTTTATGTAAAATTTTAAATATGTATATTAGCGCTGATAATATTGGTGACACATAGTGATGTATTAAAATATGTAGTTTGAAATAGTAACAGTCATAAAGCACACTTAGAGAAACGGAACGATAGGGAAAAATACTTCCACGTAACTATATAAATTAATTCAAAAATAAAAACATCTCATCTATACTGACAAATTTTTAGAAAATTGAAAACAAAAATGTGATCTTAATGAAAGGAATCTACTTATGAATTATGCACCGAGGTCTAACGAATTCCGCACATACTCTGTAAAATAACTATTTTAACTTTAGCATATAAAGGTTGGTATAGTAGTAACCATAATGTTAACATCATAAACATTTTTTTCTGTCGAGAATAGGAACGCAAATTCTTTGTTTCAGAGAAATATAAAAACGATAAAATACATTGGGGTCTATTTAGAATAATTTCAATCCGAAAGTCACGCCAATTAAATATGTCGTTTTTGAAAATTATATTTCGAGTGAAACAATGGCAGAGATATTACTACTTTGTTAATATCTTCTTTCTGAAATATATTTAATGATTAATATATCATTGAACAAAAAAATTTCAAATTTTTTCTATTAAGATTTGTGACGTGTAATTTCCTTTCAATTTCAAACGAGTATAAAATTATATAGCAATTTTGTCTTCCCCATTTCAATGTTCACTCTAACGCCTGAACGCGGCGGCAACCAGCTATAGATTTTTATAAATTGCACACGCTCCCCATTTTAATTAAGCTAGAATCGCCTGGCTACGAAAGTGTTAAGTGTACACGTACAAAACACGTATACAACGCAAAAGTAGCCTGTCGCAGTAGGAAATTTAATTCATTGTAAATTTGTACGATAAAATGGAAGTATTTTATCAACGAGGCGAATCGTTGTCATTTCGAATATACTTTCGAAATTCTTGTTGTCATCGAACGTTTCGTACATTCGTTGATACTGTTTTGTTTGCAGAAAGGAATTTAAAAATCGACACAACGCGTCGGTCCACTTTAACTCTATCGATTGACCGGGGTGTTCTGGCTTTCGACGAAAATTTACAAAGCAAAGTGAAGGAACTGGTTTAAAGAGAACATGGGTTTTTAAAAAAACTCGTGAATGTTACATACCTTCAGAAATTTGGTCTTTTGAAGACCCCTGTCAGGCCACGGTTTCCCTTCGACGATTCAAAGCTGTCGACTAACGTTAAGTTTAAAGAAATTTTGCGAAATTGTTACACGGATCGATCGTGACAGCCGATACGTGTTTGCCTACAAATAGCCCGTGATTTCTAAACGAAAAAGAAACCAGTTTTTATTCAGTATCTTCGAATGGAATCAAATGGAAATAATATTGAAACCGTTGTGATCGTTCCATTAATATTTAAACGTGATCGAGAGTTTAAAACGATTACTTAGGCACTGAATTTCGATTGAAAATTGCACTCGATTCAAATTTATGATAATTCATATCGGTCTCTTACATGAAATATCGAGGAATCACTATTTGGAGACCATGTGTCGTTTTGGTAACAAACATACAATTAAACGATCATGATAATTACGAGATATTTGCTATAACATTTTTCTACTATTCTTCTCTCTACACTATCTTTTCGGAATCTAACTTTATTTTTGCAACATTGACCTATTCAATTAAAATTGCCATATTAAATCTTTATTCTAGATCTTGGACCCTATTAATTATGAACATTAAATTTTTACGATTCGTATCCAAGAATGAGCCCATTATTTGAAACCATGTGGATTTCTTAGCCCATCTTTTTGCATTTTTTAGCATTCATAAGCATCTATGTCAAACGTTTTGATATAGTATGATTTTATGATCCAAAGAAAAGAATCAAACTTTTCGTAGTGATTTAATTATTTTCTTTATATCCTTGTAATTGAGATATTTGTAAAATTCTGTCATAATTCAACGTAGCAATAACGACAGAATTTTGCAAATATCTCGGAAACTAAAGCCGAGCGGGGGTTATGTGTATAATAAAACCTTGTTTATTTTTGGTTTAACTCAATTCAATTGTTCTTTTTTCTCTATTATGGGATCATCGCCAAAAGAAAGTCAGTGGCCGAAACATTTAAAATAAAATAATCTCAAAAAAATGCTTGTGAATAATACTTTTCCATGAAGCAATCAAATTATCATATTTTTACTTTTATTTTAAGATAATCGTATTCCTAAAGGGGAATAAAATCTAATGAACTTGAACTAATAATTACTCTAATTGACCAAAGAAACGAATATCATACTTCGTGACTCGTATTTATTGTTATTGAAAAGCTAATGAATCTACAGTTACTTCTTATTATTACTATTATTTTTTGTTATTATGTTTCATAATAAACAAATACAATGGACAATTCCGTGAATTACATCGATTATATTTTCAGATAACAACAGCGAAATTGATGTAGAAAATTCCAACGAACATTTGACGCGTGCATTATGAACATGGAAATTTGAAAGCAAGACCAGATATTATTGAAAGTTACAATTGCAGGCAGACGACCCATTTTACTAGCACCATTGTTACTATGGCCATTATCAACGTATTCTGTTCGTCGTTAACATTATGTAAAAATTATAATTATTACCAGAGAACCAATTTGATAATTAATATCACTATTATTGCATATTCGGAAATTGTTTCAACATTTTACTTCTGTTTGAACTAGTAATTATGGACACAGAACTTCAATATTATACATCGTGTCCGTGATCGAGTACTTCCTTTCTGTAAATAATAATATGAAAATAAGATTTAAATCATTCGTCAAGTCTTGTGAATAATTTATATAGTAAATATCTTAAATGCCAAAGCTGGAAAAATTATACTTCGAATGAAATTTAGAAATAATTAAAATAACGTCTTTCATTTGCTTGTAAAGCTGTTTGAAAATAATTGAAATTTAATATTTAAATATTTCATAGTTTGAAATAACAGATTGTTAAAATAATCTGTAGAAGCTTCATTATTTAAACAAGAAATAAATATTCATTCGTCATTTGTAAATACAAAATTAGTAATTTTTTAACGAACCATATACTATTTTTGTTTGACTTTTAGCTACAAAAGATACTAACAAAGGCTGCATAGCAGCCTGTTGAACACCATGTATACATATTATTCTCTACTAATTTCTATTTTCTTATTCTTATTAATCATTATATTGAACATAATGAATAATTGAAATTTATTTAAAAAACTATAAGTAAAATTAAAATAATTTTTTCAATGTCAAACATTTTTTAAAAATTAAATTCATGGCTTTGATGTCGCAAAGAGATTTCTAATTAAATTATTGAAAGATTTCAAGACATTATTTCAAATACAGAATTTGATGAAGCAAATACATATGTTTGAAGAATGACGTAATTCTGAAACAAGATACCATATTGTTTGAAATAGAATTTAAAGTTATTTTAAAATTTCCCAGGTCAGGTGGAACGCTATCGAGATTATATGCCCAAGAAAAAATGTGTTGTGGCAAATTAAATCTGCCT